TGTGGTTCTATTTACTACTTCCCTACATTTGTTTTTTCTTTCTACACCTATATTCACTATTTATCTCTTGTCTCCTGTTTAAACACTGCCTGCAGTTCAACGGACAGGTGCTCATTTTAAAATTAGTGCCAAGGAGTGCAGAATTTCTTTATTTTTTAGTTTATTTTTGGGGCAAAATGTTTATTTTTTTATTTTTGTTTCAGGCGACACGGAAAATGATGTGATTTTAAAATATTGCAATTTTATGGTCAGATTTGGTTCATTTCCTGATTAAAGTGGTCGTCACCGATGAGTAGTTGAGTAAATAAAGTCTGTCAACTCTGAACACAGCTGTCACTAACACTGGGAAGCAATTTCTGACTCGACATTTAACAGATATCTTATTAACAGGCGTTTTAATCTGTTTCCCAGCTGCTCTGTGTAAACACTGCCTGCAGTTCAGCTGAAAAAGTCAATTAATTTTTATTTTGTGACTGTTTGCCACAGCTGAGTCCTTCATAGCTTCACAGTTGCAGTGAGGAACACAGAATTTTTCCTTTTTTACCGAATCTGCTTTGGGTAAAGACTTTATTTTTGGTGATTTTTTAAAATAAGTCTTTGAGATTTTCTGTCAGATTTCTGTCAGTTACTGTACTAACAGAAGTGCTTTTGTTGTTCATTCCTGCATGATTTCCGTCCATGCTTGTGCGACCGCAACCTGCAGTGATCCGAGGAATCTGCGACGACTACAACCTGGATTTCCCGGCTTTCTACGCCTGCATCGGCCTGTGGAACTGCCTCTTCCTCATCCTGGGGGGAATCTTCAACGTCAGCCTGCTCATGAAGCTCTTCAAAAGGTGCTTCTCATTCACACGTTGTCAAACAGATCTCGCTTTAATCGTCTTCCTTTCAGTACAGTCCAATTTATCAACTCTCTTCTTACATTTTTCTTTTATTTATCGGCTCGCCTTCACTGTCAGATAGAGAAATGCTTCAAATTGGGCCTAACCGTCTGAAGAAAAGTATTCTGCACAACAAACTGTTTTTAATGAAACCACAAAGACAAACATGCAGAGTTTGTTTTTTTTTTTTTTCTCTGAGGAAAAAGAATAATAAGGATCGCTTTCTTTTATAAAGTTTATGTTTTCGCCTCCGTTTTAATTTATATTTTAACTTGTGTTTTCACTCATTAGTACTGACTTTGGATTTTTGCATAAGAGACAAACAAAATAATTGGAAAGTTTCAGGTTTCATGAAAACATTGGTTAAAATAAAGCATGCATTTGGCAAAATAATGCATTTTAGAACTTGTTTTTATCTTGTAGAGTTTCATCTGAGCCATTTTAAGGCATAAAGGGATTTTTTTAGTGGGAAAACAAATCCTAAAGATGTACTGTGATGGACAGCGATGAGTTTTTACAGGTTGAATCAATAAGCAGAGCGGGACTTTAATATTAACAACCTTGTTTGTCTGGGTGGGTTATATTTAATTTTATATTTAATCACAGTACGAGCGTTGCATGTCCAAGTTGCTGTGTTCAGACTTTATTATATCTGCCTGCAGGTCTGGTTTTATACTTTTGTGTACTGACCTTCAAAGATGTGAGCGCAGAACAAACAGAAAAACATGTATTTATAGATATTTTTTGTATAATCCATCCCTTTTTTCATCTATTTTTTTTTCTTTCCACCAATATGCACCTAATACTTAAAGTGAAAATCCCCTTAAATCTCATCTCTGTGTATCAGAGTGACACATTTAGGAAGTTTTTCCATGAAGAAGAATCCCTTCCTGTGTTAAAATGACTTAGATGATATTCTACGCTGTTGCCTGTTAGAATGTGCATATGTATAAAGTGAAGCGCACCAGCTCACATGTGAATCCGCTCAAACATTATTCAACTAAGGTACAGTTCAAGCCTATAAAATGGCAAACACTAATTTAGCCATGTGTGTTAGAACCAAAAACTGACTCTGAGGAACAATAATAATTTAGAAAATCCTGCAAGATTGATTCCTTAGCTTTGTTCCAGGGCCTATTAAAAGTAGCTTCTCCTTTTATTGCGGTTCAGCTCTGACTTTTTTGACAAGAATTACAATATTACAAACAAAACAATACATTACTTCGTAGAAATCTTCAATTTGACATGAAGGAGTCTTTTTTGGGGGGTAAATTCTTGTCAAATTAAATTGACTGTGATTTAATGTTGGAGTACGGTGGTGGTAGCATCATGACATGGAGCCTGATGGAGGTGGCATCGTGACGTGAAGCATGGTGGTGGCAGCATCATGACGTGAAGCATGGTGGTGGCAGCATCATGATGTGAAGCATGTTGGTGGCAGCATCATGACGTGAAGCATGGTGGTGGCAGCATCATGACGTGAAGCATGGTGGTGGCAGCATCATGATGTGGGGATGATTTTCAGCAGCAGACCCTGGAAGGCTTGTAAAGGTAGAGGGTAAAATAAATGCAGTAAAGTATAAAGAAATCCTGGAGGACAACCTGATGCAGTCTGCAAGAAAACAGGCTCACTGCTGTTATTTTAGCCAAAGGTGCATCTACTGAATATTGACTTAAAGAAGGTGAATCGCTTAATTTATGTCTTGTATTTTTAATTAAATAACGTTACTATGTATAAATCTGTTTTCACATTGACAAGAAATAGTCATTTTTAAAAAATTCTTTTCAAAAAAGCCTAATTAAATTGACTAAGATTCAATGAGGAAAATCCTCCAAGAAGCAGTGAATAGTTCTTACTGGCACCATTTGAATTAAACTCTGGAAGTCTGAATCAATATTTTTTTTCATTCTTATGCTGAAATTTCAAGGTGAAGCTGCTCAGCTATGTTGCTGACGGCCTGTTTTCCTCACGATGTGTGTTCTGGCATGTCTAAAAACATGACTTGGACATGTTAACAAAGAAAAAAAAACACACCTATTTTTCACCTGAGGGGGTCTTTAAGATTTGACTATTTTTATTTGTTTCAGCGTCCTGTCATGCAACTCGTCTTGACTGTCACTTGTGTGGTATGTTTTCTAGGTCGACGGAGGAGGTCATCGCCCTGTTCATCTCCATCGCGTTCGTGGTTGACGCCGTGAAAGGCACAGTCAAAAGTAAGACACGTATGACAGCCACCGCCGCTTTGTTCCTCAGACTGCGGCTTGTTTACGCCGCCGCCGTCTCGCGACACGTTCGCCGTCGCATCTCGCTGCCACATTTCGACTGTGAACGACCAGAACGTGCGCTCGGCTCTGACTAATCAGAACCAACGCCGGCATCACACCTGCTGTCAAACCGAGCCGAACGGCCGATTCCAGCCCCGACGAGACAATAACTTCTCCCCGAAAGTATATAAGATAAAGAAAATGAAAACACTACACTGTTACACACAATACACTGCATTATAAGTGATTTTTTTTTTAGATTATAATTTAAGTGAGCAGCCCACTAATTAGCGTCCTCGCCTGAAGAATCTTTTGTCGACTGAGAGTCATAAGATCTCCTCAACTAATCATTTAGCCCTTTTAATTAAAAACTGTCAAATAGCTTTTCCCAGTATTATTATTGTCTTCCTTCGGCAGCCATCTGCACAAGGATCTCTTAAATTCTAGTGCTTATTAAAGAACAAACCGTATTTTTTAATATTATTGTCGCGCTAGATACGGTTTTCCAGGATTTCCAACTAATGACTTACTCCCCGACAACAAAACAGACAATCACGACCCAAATGACTGATTACTTCGCTAATCAAATGTGAGCAGCGTTGGCCGAGAGTGAGAAATGCTGCCTTCTAGAGACAGAAACAACATATTAGCTCCGTGGTCATCAGATTGAGAGGCTTTGAGAGATACCGCGCGCTAAATTAATCAAGTCCAGATTACTGAACCCCGGGCCTGCAGCCATATCGTACCACCCGGGGCTTCACCGCACCTCGTCTTAGTATATCATAAATATTTTACATAATTTAATTTCCCCCCCACCTCCCAAAAAAAAAAAAAAACCCGAGATGACGATAGCGGAATGTAATTTATTTTGAATGCGGTGTTGTCCTGTTTTGCAGATTGCCAGTGCAGTAGTTCAATTTTCGGAAACCATTTGTAAAATACGCTCCGAGCTCATATGCCATTACCATAACATTAACCTGTGCCGTTTTGTTGACACTTTTCATCCGAAATATTTCCCAGTAACACAAATGAATGCATTTTTTTGGGGGGTGGTGTGTTGTATCCGGTCTCCTGTATAACTTTGCCAGCAGTATAACTTTCTCCTCTGTTTGATGAAAAGCCCCGCGGTAGGGAGCTGCACGCCGGCCACAGTCTTCATCAGAAATGATTCTGTGGAGCTCTCAGAGACAAAGCGATGCACTCCTTCTTACAGAACATAGCAGGAAAACCACTTCCCCCCCTATAAAGTGCCTAGAAAGCATTCACTGATCCCCTTTTTTACAAGAACTAGAAAAAAAGTCAAAGTGAAAACATATTTCTGCAACGTAATGTCCATTCATTAAACATATGAAATGGATCATTAACAGACTTGTGTAGAACTTGACAACAAGCTGTTGGAGAGCCATTAAATTGAGTCAGGTGTGTTGCAGGACGGAAATGTCTAAAACCTGCAGGACAGTAACCCACGAGTATCGGAGTTGGAGATCGCTGGACGAGACGCTATGTTTCACAGACACCAAACACTACACATCATCACAAACGCACCATCCGGACTGTGAAGCACGGTGGTGGCAGCATCATGATGTGAAGCA